AGTGTCTATTCCTGCCCTTACAAATCTGGGGGAAGTGAGGTTTAGCACTTAGTTCTCATTTAATATGCCCATCCAATGCTCTCATCTAATGCTCTCACAGAATGTATTTCAAGCTTATCCCAGAACCCTGGTCTCAGATTTTTTAAATGATGAATTTTAATATTATTTTAAGAGATGAATTTCTTGCAATGATTATTGGCATTAAAATATATAGGTGAATGTTAATGGTCTAATTAATGATCTATTTTTTATTTTTTTATTTTTTAAAGATTGAATTATTTATGCATACAAGAGCTGGGGTACAGGCCAGAGATGTGGGGGTGAGAAGATTCACCAGAGACAGAGTGGGGAACAGAACAGGCAGACTGACTGAAACACACTGCTGAGGGGAGCAGTGGGCTAGACAGGAGAGGTCTGCTGCGCCATGTGGGTCACCTTGACCGGAGACAGAACTCATGCTGCAAAGGCTGCGGATAGCTTCACAGTGCTGCGTTTAACCCCTTGCACCACCCGGGAGGCCCCAATAATCAGGTTTTTTAAAAAAAAAAACCTCAGTGCCTTAAATTTCCTCATGGGATAATGTCACCCATGAGAACAGATAGGAATCACTTATATTTATAGTCATGTCCAAAATTTGGATGACTTATGGGCACATTTGCAATTGATGAAACCTGAATAATGTGAAAATCTATGAATCTCCAGGAACCAGGCTGATAATTGGCTTGCTTGTACATTCAGCATGCACTTCCCAAGCACACACAGTCCCCTGGCACTTATAAGGATGCCTGACTATATAACAAAACACTTAACAATGCCCACAGTCTTCCAACTGCCATGTCTCAACCAAGTTGACAACACAGTCTGCCAAACTTCTATTCCCACAGTGATTCATCTGGAGAAAGATGATTTCATGATATCTTTCATTTTCTCTAAGCAGTGTAGGTAATAGGAGAGAAAGGAAGCAAACTTTGAGGATATAATTTTTTTTTATTCCAAGAATTATTAGTTCCCTTCCTTCCTCATGATTCCCTAAATCGTGACCTACAAAGCATTACCAAAAAGTCCTAAAGCGTTGTCTGATGTGCACATGTAAACACAGCACACAAACAGTTAACAATATTCTCACACAGCTACCTCAGACCATCCAGAACTAATTATACACATTTGGATGTTTCATCTCTTATTAGATTAAGATTGACTTAGAGAAGTGAAGCGGGGTTCAGGCACACAGAGTAGGTTTTAAGCTTGCTGAAAGCTGCTAGCACCAAAAAGGGAATTGGCTGGCTGGGAACTTCATTGCATTAAGAAAAATATGATCATCCTTTCAGAGGAGTTGATTAAGTGCAGAGGTTAAGGCAGAGATCTATGTTGCATGGAGTCGACCTCCTTTGCTAGTTTTGCATGACAGGTAAGGTTTGGACACAAGACCCTCGCATTCTAACATCTCTTTTGTTAGCATTGAGTAGAGTCAAGTAATGAACCTCAAATTCCAACATCTCAAGCGATCCTGATTACACGAAGCAACGAATTGAAGCAATTATCTGATCATTCAAACCCAGAAAAAAAAGACTTTGGTTTGAATTATTTAGCAAGTGCCTATTTTCCATTAAAACTCTAGAAGCCTAAATCTGTCAAAAAGTCTTTCCTTTGAAGGGTAAAGCTAATAGAGTCACCATCGGAATATCTGCAAGTCTTATATGTTTAGTGAATAAGTTTCCAGGTCACTAGTCACATTTTCCCCCTAGGAAATGAATTCAGAAATTCCTTTGAACCCTTAGCTCCAAGAGAAAAGCAGCCTAACTCTCTGTTCTATTCCCAGTGTGCATTCTCCGGCAGAATAGTAAGACACATTTGGAACAGAGGCAGGCACAGCCTTTTGCTGAGACAGGCCACAGGGTAAACCAAATGCACCCAAGAAGGAGGGGATGTTAATCATCTACAGTTCGACACTTGTACATAGTTCAGCAGCTCAACTTCCAAGAGTAGTCTTCACTTTCTTGAGGTTCTAAATGTTTAAGGAAGCATAAGGCAACAGCTAGAAAAAGAGAGTACAGAAAAAAGTAAAAGTGTGCTAGAAGAAATGCGAGCATGAGGAAACAAGCACGATGTCAGAATCAGGTGGAGAGGCAAAGGCATGAACTTCCAGAGACAAAGGCAAGCCAGCTTGTTTCCAGAGCTGTTCTTTGTTAGAGAAAAGACAGGCCACCCCTGGGAACACGGGCCCGTGTCTTGAGAAAAGAGACACTTCAGACAGTGAAAGGTGTGCTCTTTTTCCCCACCAAACTCCACTCGATCCGAGGTACCTTCCAGCCTCAGCTCAGAGCCTGCTGCTCTGGAATGCGCGGCGTGCCAGGACAGAACACATCCTGAATAGGAATCCACCGACTGACATCGCCGGGTGCTGCTCATGCTTGTATTTACCCAGGCTTCCAGCCAGTCACATAAATTATAAATGTGTGTATGAGCACTTTGGGGAGTCCAAATCCACACACGCTGCAAAAAGGGAAAAATAGTAAATGATTTCCACAGGTAAGTGAATGTGTGCCTCAAATTTCTGGCTGATCCGCACATTAAAATAGGAGGCCATGTCCTGGAATGGCCACCCCTTATATGACAACTCTTTGTTTAAATAGCCTTAGAATTACACATTTTAGGTCTAATGCCACTTTAGCAAATATTTTCAGTAGCCACATTTATGTATCCAATGTATAACAGAGATGTCATGGCATTTTTGCAAACTCATTGTTATGCTCAAAATAATCACTTAGATAAGGGGACAGCAAACTTTCTGTAAAGGGCCAGAGTCAATATTGGAGACATTGCTGGCCATCCAGGCCCTATTGAAACTGTAAGGCTCTGCATTTGCAGCACAAAGCAGTCACAGCGATGCATGAACAGTGTGGCTGAGTTCCAATAAAACTTCATTTATGGGGCCTCCCCTGGTGACACAGCGATTGAGCGTTAGGCTGCAAAGCTGCCTGCAGCCTCTGCAGCGCTGGTTCGATTCCCGGCCACCGGTGAGGGTCCCACATGGTGCAACAGACCTCTCCTGCCATGCCCGCTGCTCACCTCCACAGTGTATTTCATCAGTCTGCCTGTTCTGTTCCCCGCTCTGGCTCTGGTGAATTCTCTCACCGTCCCATGCTTCTGACTGTACCCAGTGCTTGTATAAACAAACAAACAAACAAACAAACAAATAAATCTTTAAAAAAAGAAAAAAACTTCATTTATGAACACTGACATCTGTATCCCATGTAATCTTCATGTGTCATCAATTATGAGTCTTTTGATTTTTGACCATTGTTAACTGTGGGTCAAACAATACAGGCAGACATGACCAGCAGTCCATAGTTTGCCAACTCCTGATGTAAATGGTCAAAAGATACACCTAGCTGCTTTCACCTCATGAACTAAAGCATTCGGGTTGCGGGAAAGGCAGTGCCAAGAAGCAGGTAGCCCTGTGCAATGCCTCACTGCCCTAAGACCTTCCAGAACCATCAGCATCAGCAGCATCTATGACCCCCAGACTTATAGCATGTAAATCTGCAGATCAACAAGATCCCTGGGTTATTTGCAAGACTTAAGTTTGAGAAGGCTTGGTGGTGTGGTTGAAAGTATAGACTCTGGAATTAGAGCGTAGCTTGAATCTTTGTGTCTCATTGGCAATATGGTCTTGGACCACATGACGGTGGTGATGATGTTAATGAGTAGGCCTGTTTATGAAATAGGAGCTGCATGGCTATTGCTTCCTGGGGGTGTGAATGGGCTTAAGGGCCAGCAGTCTGCAGGCCAGCCCCAAGCTTCTGCAGCGGTGGCCTGGTACAGGGTCAAGGTGGCTTCCCTGACCTCAGCGCAGGTCGGTTCTGGGCAGGTGACTGGGATCTCCCTTTTGAATATGGTGCTGGAATAGAAAAATGAGCCAATCTGATTGCAGCTTGACCAGTGCCCATCAGACAGCTGCTACTGTGAATGGACTGATCACACTTGAAAGGCAAGGGACATAAGCTGAGTCTCCAGAGGGATTGATTCAGACTTTTGGACTCAGACTCATCTGGACCTTTTCCTAGAAGAACTTCATAGACCTTGGCAGACCTCTGAGAACCCCACATCTGATCTCTGCTTCAAATTGAAACCTAAGTGCTGTCCTTGCCTCCAAGCTGACCTGCTGATGGGCACCACTGGTCTGTGCCTGAGGTCCTGTGCCTGGTGTCTTCTCTTAAAGACTATCAGCTCTCATAGGCTGTAACACTCGTGCCTGTACTCTGGCACCATCAGGACTGATGACCTGTGTCCAGTGACTCCTGAGAGCTGTCTACTGCTCTGACCCTCTGGCACCATCAGGTCCAGTGTCAGGCACTGGCCAACAAGGCCTTGGCGCAGGTGTTGCTGACTGCTGTGGTGTCACCTCAGCAGCACCACACCTCTGGCTGTTGCTGTGAGTTGGATCTTGATCTACTGCTAGCCGGTGTGCCGCCAGCTCCAGGCTCTCAGCAGAGACAGTGCCATCTTGAATGAGCGGCCTTTGTTTTGGACCACTGGACACTGTGGACTCTCTGGGCTGGGGTGTGGCAGCCAGCCATCTGTGCACTTAGAACTTCCCTTTTTTCCGATTTCCGTTTTTTAATAAATCCCATTGAAGTTGCACCCTGAGCCTTAGTCATCTCTTGCAAGCACATTATGAGCATATGGGTGAGAACCCACAGACCTATGCCCCAGCCTTGGGACTCTCTAATGCTGTTTTACCTCTACCCCTAAAAAGTGGGATGATCATCTGTGCTAACGTCTCAGCAAGTTACCTTACCTGGCAAGCAATGTTTATTAAATGCTTCCCAAGATTCATTTTTAGAAAAGCAATGAGCACACACACATTCTCCCCAAGGCCACTTCCTCAAGGATGGACACACTTTCAGTCATGTGCGTTGAACTGCTAAGACTATAGCCCCTCCAGCCCAATAATCCCAACCATAAAGAGAAGAAAGACGCTACCACTCTTAGTTGCAGAGTGTAAAATATATTGATGGCTGTAAAGGGACAGCTTGGAGGCATTTCAGGTCTACTGAGATGGCGTGCAGCAAACATACATGCTGTTTTTCCAAACAATGTCATTATGTTTTCAAATACATCTCTGTTTTGAACAAGATGTTTTGTTTTTCATTAGCACAGTTTACTACTCTACAGTTTCTCCTAGAGTAAATAAATATAACGGCTGTTTGCAGAGCAACTACAGACTTATTTAGATGTTTAACAAGGTGAACTATTTCACAATTAGGTCGACCTTTAAGTTAACAGCAAGATGTTTTTCATTTGTTTTGTTCACTGCTGCAGTGGGAGGGTCTGCGGGGTGGGGGTGGGGGGGTGTAAGTTTTCCAATGTATTCTTTGTTCACATGTTTAGTCACCAACAGACTCCAAAAGGTAATGAATGAAAATAACAGTCTGTTAAAAAAATTAAACTGTAATTAGGCTCTGGGTTTTTCCAAGACCCTAAAAGTCAGATCATTTAAGTTTACAAGAGAAAAAAAGTAGGAATAATGGAATACTAAATAACAAAAAAACTACTGAAAAATACATCCGTAAAATACAGTGGTCAGTTGTAAACAGCTGAGCAGGGCAAAGAAAATGAAAGTCCTTCTAGACCATTAAAAAGTCCAATGACAAACTCTGCTTCTTTTTCTAGTGGCTATTTTCCTACCACAGTGTTGAGCTTCATCATTATATTAAATAACTTATATGGGTAAAAAGGAGTTTGCTAACCAGCAGCCAACTCAAAACCTTGGAGGAAGAGGGAGGAGAGGCGTTCACAAGACAGCACGCACGAGGGGAGCAGGAGTCCACCAGTCTGTCCCCCCTGGCAAGACGGATGGAGCTGAGGTTGGGGACTTACAGAGGGGGTTTTCCCCTCCCTCCTCTCCCTTTTTCATTTAAGTTAACAAAGAAACATGGGCTTCCTAAGAGCCAGCACTCAGCTGGACAAGTCCCATTAGCAGCAAATGTTCAACCAAATAAAAAACACACACAAAAGAAAGCTCCATCCAGGTGCAGAGCTGTGATTCACATGGAAATTCCAGGAGATGAATCATGTGCAGCGCTGGGATCTTAGGAGGATTCATTCCCAAGTGTCTTCAGTGAACAGTTCAGTCTCACAAAATCTGAGTCAATCTGTCAGCTGTGGGAAATCAGTTCCCCATCTGCTCTTGGGGAGCTCACTTGCAGGGACTTCGTGATTTTCCGTAGATGCCAGAAAACAAAGGCCAGTGGCTCAAGGACTGGAGATGCAGCAGCAGCAGCAGCGATCAGCGTCCCGCTCGTTAAACTCTGCCTAAGAGGCTTGACCTGAGTAATAAAGAAGACATTATAAGCAAGAGTGTGGCAAAATTTTTGAATTAGGATTAAAATGCATTGCCAAACCTACCTTCACCTTTCCTGTGTTTTACATTTGATTTTTAATAATTAAAAAGAGGGAAAATATCAAACTTTGTGGAGTTCTGGGTTTTGGGGGAGAAATGTTAGTCACTTAAATATTACTAGACAGATGAAAATTTTGTATTTTGGTAAATCTATCTTTTACGTGGCTTTATATGAAAATGAAACAAAGGGTCATTAATAATGTTTTTTTTAGGAAAAAAAAGTTTTTGGTTATGTTCTGGTCTTATCACAGATGGGTTTACTTGGTATATAATGCGTCTTCATTTTCACAGTCCATGACCACTGAGGGCAGTTAAATAGCAAGTGACAAAGAAAGGCATCTGCCCTTAGAATGTATTTGTTATTGCCACTGCTGAAAAGTGTCAGGTAAAGGATCTATGAAAAATATCTTATTGCCTTCAATAATGGTAGGGACTGTTATTCTAGAATAACTAATCTCAGTTTCCACTTGACACACATGGCTTTGCAAACTATCAAAACCTATCTACGTTCTTTTCTTTGTGGCTACGTTCCATCCCCTTTGTGGATACTCCCTTGGCCAACACCCACAGTAGCCCCATGCCACGCTCAGCACTGCAGGGCATGTGTCCAGACCTGTGGTTTACATGAGGGGAAAACCCTGTGCCTGCCCACAAGAGGCTTCCATGGCAGTAGGAAAAAGCAGTACTTCCACTACCAAACAGTACACGGTCTGCAGCCGGAGAAGACTGCCCTAGTCCTGAGCTCAGAGGGACTCTTACGGGAGAGAGGAGGGTCATGGGTGGCGGCCCTGGAAGGGAACTTGAGAATACACATGGATGTGGAAAAGGCAGAGTGTGTGGCTTAAATCCAGAGACTCAAAAGGCAACTTGTTCTTCCAAGTTCCTTACAAACAATTTTAAAGGCCTCCCGGGTGGTGTAGGAGTTAAAGATGCAGTGCTATCATAAGCTATCGTCAGCCACTGCAGCAAGAGGTCGATCCCCAGGGAGCTACCCACATGGCACAGCAGACCTCTCCTGTCTCACCCTCTGCTCCCCTCAGCAATGTATTTCAGTAGATCTCACTGTTTTGCTCCCCACTCTGTCTCTGGTGAATCCTCTCACCCCCTGCACCTCTGGCCTGTGCCCCAATTCTTGTATACATAAATATTTAAAAAAAAAATTAATATCAAACAAGTGTTTTATACCAAAGAATACATCTTCTCTGCATCTATACGTGTCTCCTTATACTTGTCACTCACTCTACTTGTGCCCTTGCTTGTTCCTCCAAGAACTCCTCTCAGTGTATCACGATGAGCACTTCTGAGTTGAGTACTACTGTGGACTGACTGACGGATTCCTGCCTGATGTTAATCCAGTACAGTACACCCTCTTTTTGCTTCACATTTCTACATCCTCTAGTAAATTCTTTGGTCACATTTCAACCAATCAAATGTTAAATGTGATTGTTTTTGCATGTACAGACAGGGGGAGGATTGTACAATTCAACCCATAGCTTTTACTATCAACCCTCTGACTTATAAGCCCTTTCACCCTAACCACTAATCAACAGGAATATGGCACAAAAGAATAACAACCGGCAAAGAATAACCAGATAAGAAGTATGTGGTAGGGTTGTATTAATTTTATGGCTGGAATTTCACAGGTATTGCAGATACACTTGTGTATAGACAATTTATCATTTTTAAAAATCTATAAAAGTAACAATAGCTAAGTTGTATACTGGGGCCACATCACATTTAAGATTTTAAGAAATGGAAATGGGAAATTAAAAGGAGAAATACAGAAGGCAAACATCCAGCTAAAAAGGGTAACTATAAGATGTAATTCAGAAATCCTTTATCCAGCAAGATGTGTACTCTGAGATTCATGTTTAATTCATGAGTAATATTAAACAGTACAGTAAATGTCCTTTAATACCAATACAGAGTAACACAAAATTTTAATATCAACGTGCCACCACCAGACACAAATTTGCATAAAAGTAAAGTGGGGCAACAGAACAGCAAGCCTGTTTATCCCAGGATTCCAGGTTTTGGCCACACCTTTATGTTTGTATCTGGGATAAAAGAAGCATCTCAAATCATAACTGGAGAGGATTATAAGTGGGATACCACCATATGCAATTTTATTTTTATATGGAGTTGGAATCATGGGTAGACATCATCCTTTACTCCTTTTGTACATCTGAAATACTTTGTAAAGTAGAAAAGAAATTATCTCCAATCACCATGACTCCTTCTGAGGATAATTCCAAAGTCTTTGTTACATCATCCTGCCTCACTGAAAGGTAAAACCAAAAACAACTACCATGGTATAAAAAGGTAGTTGTTCCTAGAGTCTCTAAGTAGAAATACACAAATGGCCATTTTGAATATATTATTACTATATTCTGGACTTCTTTTGTCTCTCAAAGTATCTCAAATGCTTAAAACTCAAATTCACCTTAGTTTTGTTTGAAAATACTCATAGATTAAGAAAATTTTCTAAATTCTAAATTATGTTTAAACTCCCTCTCCCAAACTAAAAACAGACCAAGATACAGCTGATAATGATACACTAAAATTAACCAGCCAGCAATTAGGTCTCTTTGCTCTCAAGTCAAATAAAAGCTCAGAGTTAGAGTTAATTCAGACACATAGTCTGAACTTCTTATCTTTTAGGTGAAGAAACTGAGTCAGTACTCTCTTTTCCATGCCTGGGAGAAGTTTAATTTTTCATTCAATAAAATAATGGGAGACGGGAAGAAGAGGGTCACTCTGTATCCGTGCGTCTAAAAAAGCGAAGGCAGTAAAACTGAACGATGCTATGGAGGATTCTAAGGCACAGAGATTCAGTTAAGAGGGGGTAGGTGCACAGGACTTGGAGGGGCTTCCGGGCAGGGACTGCTGGAAAGCATTGGGCATTCTTCAATTAAGGCCAACATCATCTTCACATGTGCACAGCAGTGAGCAGCGTTGAGACCCACCTTAAAGACTTCCATCTGTCTTTCTCTATATGATTTTCAGGTCCTTCACTCTCATAGGAAGCCAAGTAGAGAGCTATAATCAACCACAAACAAGTAGACATTAATAGTGATGCCCTCTCTATCACCCATCATTATATGATATCACCCCTCCCCTGCCCAATCTGAGCCAAGCACTATAGCAAAACATAGTCTTTAAATTATCAGATTATGATGGAGAGTTTCAAAGTTTTATTAAGCACACAACCATCACTTAGTTCCTTGGCACCTTAACAAAAGCCTAAGGTCTCTAGGCCAAAAAGGCACTTAATTAACTAAGAGACCAGCTAGGGGAAAGAAAGGCTTATGAATGCAAGACACAATATGCTCTCATCCACTCACATTTGTGTCCATTATAGAGAAGGGGCTGGTAGCCTTGATTTTTAAAAAAAAGTTCGTAGATAAAAAGCCAGATTTTTCTAAGCTAATTTCCCAGTCTTTGAATATTTTTTCTTTAAAATAAAAAGGAATCTTTATTCAAAGATTGATAAGTTTGTGTTTTTTTAAGCATATCTATAGAGGTTAAAAATAATCAAATCCCCTCTGGAATGAGTAATATTAATTTAAAGAGCTCTTCAGTATTATCATAAGCACTATCCATTTAGTAGGAGAAATGGTCAGCTATGTATACAATTGATTTCTATAATATTAGGATATAACAAATCAATAGAATAAGTCCCCATGTCTTTTACAAACCTGAACTTTTTTTCTGGTTAGTTGGTGAATTTTTTTCTGTATACAATCAATCACTTTTCCACCTCAAACTCCTTAATGTATTAACAGGTCAGGACTTTCCATTACTTTTTCAAACAGTGGAGGATAGCAATTGACTGGGGTTTTTTTCAAATTGACTTGAATATCAAAATACCCAAAAATACCTTTTTAAAAAAAATAAATTGAAGCAAACCCAAACATGGGGGTTACGGGGGTGGGGTGTGGGGTGCAAATCCTTCAATCCTTCAATAACTTTCCATTTTCGCCCAAAGCATAGCTGGCTTAAATATCTTATGGATAAATCATATGGTTTGCTATGTAATGGAAGTCTTACAATGAACAAGGTCAGAAGACAAACCTTGTACCATACAAGGCAGTAGGCAGCTTTCTTTCCCTAGCACAGGGTCTGAGAAGCTGGTGGTACACAGCCCAGTGGCCTACTCACCGTCTTCACTGAAGACTGGTACGGTGAGCAGATACTGCATGATCTTCCGGTCCCTCTCAAATGGACATTCCACTTGTTTCCATGTCATGAATTCACTCACTTGTTTGGCCAGTTCCCAAAATTTCTAAAGAACAAAAGAAAAGAACTTAAAAGGCCATCATCAAAAAGTGTGAGCTTTGAAGAGATAAAATTCATTTAATGTTTCCCTCTAGCTTCTAATCTTCTGAGCTACATAATTTTCTTAATTGAACAAAAATTAGGTAGAGGTATTTGTTAAGGCAAAGGTGAAAACTGACTTGAGTAGGCCCAGAAAATAATCATAATGATGCAATTAATAGTTCTACTTGGTTGTTACTATTTTCTTAAAAAAAAAACATTTGGGAAAGAGGAAACTTGATTCTAGAATTTCAGACTCAGCTTTAGTTGCTTAGCTAGGATGCAATGCTGGAAGAAGCATGCCCTTCTCAGATTTTTGCAGCCTGCTCTTACCTCAAAGTTGACATGGCCGTTTGGAAGGCGGTTGGCGCAGCCCTCATTGAGGAAATAAATATCTTTGATTAAAAGACTGAAGAATGGTATCACAATCTAGAGAAAACAAAAGATGTTGGTTTGTTTGGGCAAAAAGTTGTCTTCTCATCAAGCAGTACAAGAAATTGATGAACAACATTAACTCTGGATTAACACACACAATATATTATTCACTGCTCAAGACAGCATTTTCCTCCCTTACATAGTTTTGCTTAAGACATAAATGCTATTAATAACCAAGACACAGCAAAGACAAGTAACATTGATAGGTGTATGGCTGCTTCATGGTGTTACCATAGTTTTTCCTACTTTTTACAAGGTAATAGCATACAATAAAATAAAACCTAGAAGTTCTGGCTATAATCAAAGGGAAAAGATAGTACTCAAGCTTTTCATTTAGTTACAACCAAATATTAATAGAATTCCATGGATGCAGGTAGCAAGTTATTAAGATGTATGACCCATCTTCCTGCTGGGATCTGTATTGCTATGTCATTTAGATGTCTACATTTTGGATGAACTTTTATTTTATTTTATTTTAAGATTTATTTATTTATTTATACAAGCACTGGGTACAGTCAGAAGCGCAGTTGGGTGAGAGAATTCACCAGAGCTAGAGTGGGGAACAGAATAGACAGACTGATGAAATACACTGCTGAGGGGAGCAGCGGGCATGACAGGAGTGGTCTGTCGTGCCATGTGGGACCCTCGCTGGTGGCCGGGGATTGACCCGGCACTGCAGAGGCTGCGGGCTGCTTCGCAGCCCAGAGCCCAACTGCTGCGCCACCAGGGGAGGCCCTGAACTTTTATTTTAGATGAATATTTCATTTTGCCCTTGAAGACATTGCTCAAGATAATGTAAGTGCTCAGGTTTTAGGTAATTGCTTCTACTAGCTTCCTATTACATAAACCTGGTCTTCATATGACAGAACAAGCTAGCACCTGTTTTCATGGGAAATCACCAAAGAAATACCTTGCACAACATGTTGTGAGATGGGCTCCAGTGAAGGAGGAATATAAAGATGTAAATTCAAATTAATGGCTGATAAAAAAAACAATGAAGCTTCTTTAGTAAGACTTTCCTGTTTCACATCTTTGGCTTAATGAGGTGGTATTTATTTAAACTAAAATAATAAGCTCTAAGAATGCACCCTAAATCCAACTAAGCCCATAATGAGCAAAGAACAAATCTCAGACGTAGTAACTTCTGCTTTCTCCCAAATACTAACATGTTTTTGAGGATTCTAAATTTGCTACCATGCAAATAATGGTCCAGACACAGATTGTGGACCTGTGTTGTTTACCCAAGGGCAGGTCTTTGAAGTTCTCCTAAGCTTCTGAGAAGCTGACTCATAGAGTACATCTATACTAAATGAATGGAAGGTCTGGAAAACATAATTTTGACTCATACACATAAGTATTAAGTATCAATTTTCACTTCTATAATTCAGATTTTATCCTTAAGTCATTTAAAAAGATTGCTTTGATTTTTTTTTGTATCATTAATCTGAAAATAACCAAGTCTTTTTAGTTTCAACAACTTGTTTGAATAGACATTTAATCATTTGCTATTGTCTATGGAAGACTCTAAAGCTGAATTATCAAAGATCCCCTCATTTTCTCCTTAAATATTACTAGTATTTCTCTATTAGTTTAGAACTCAACAGACACAGTACTACTAATAAAAACACACCTAAACCTGAGTCCTTGAAAAAACCACTTGTGAGTGGGAAGCTCTGGGCTTTGGCTACTTGTTTAAAATCTGATTCCACAATTTATTGGCGGTAGAAGCCAGGAGTCTGCAACCCGTGGTCTGCAACCTGGCCCAAGCCCACAACCTGCTTTGGTTTGGCCTAGAAGTCACATATTTTACCTTTTTAAAATGTCTGAAAAAAATTAAAAGAATAATATTTTGTGGGCATGAAAAGTATATGACATGCAAATTACAAGGGCCAAACAGCTTTGCTGGAAAACAGTCATGTTCACTCATTCATCTCTTATTGTCTATCACCGCTCTTGTGCTGTAACAGAATGGAGTAGTTCCAACAGAGACAGCATGGCCTCAAAGCCTAAAATAAAAGCTTGTCAGTCCCTGGTATAAAACCGACATACTAAGAAAACCTAGTTTCCTTAAGTTAAAATGGGAATAGTAGTACCTCACGGACCTTTGGTGAAGATTAAATTAGTAATATGGGTTAAAACGCAATTAAACACTCAAAAAACCCCACAAAAACCAACGGGCCCCACATAAAGAGGGCAAATATTGATCCACTCAAAGATAAGAATACATCATCATAAGGCAGCCCCTGGGAGAGGAGGATTAAATTACACTCAAGAGGCAACATTTGCCTATGTATGAGAGTTTTTAAGCAAGAACTTCATTTTGGGGGTCTATTCTACAGCATTGGGTTTGAGATTCATGTAACATGCCTCATTGATACTCAAACTTTCCACAAGTTCATGGTATGGGCCTCCATTTGGGTATCCTAGGCTATATCTTATGTGATTGTTTGCATTCTATTGCCTGCAAGACGATACACTATTAATCGTTTGAAACACACTTGCAAGGAAACGAATACAAGTAGTCTGCCTAAAGATCCATCACCACTCTGTTTCTTATGCCTACAATGCCTCACAAGCTCCTCCAACTGCTTTATTTACCTGTGGCCAAGTCCCTGCATTATCTGTAGTCCTATATAAAACTAACTTCATAAAAACTGGTGATATATAAGGATTTCAGATTTCCCTGAGCTGAGAGAGAGAGAGACACAGGTTACTACCAGGGTAGTAAAAGTTTGGTTTCTAAGGGATCTTGTCAATGCTATCTGTAGTGGGAGAACTTCTAAGGTAATGTTTTTCAAATCCTTCTCAAAATATTCTTAATTCAGAGACTCATTCTTAGAGGCATTATAAGTTCCACACCCAGGAATAAATGCTGATGAGTAGGAACAAGTTCCCACAAACAAAACTGAAATGGGTTAAAAGGCTTTGAAACGATGTAATCATATGAGAAGTGGTTACAACCTGAAGGCATGAGTACCCACAGGGAAAAACAATATAGCTATGTAAGGATCACTTAAGGGCCCTGCATGGAAGACCAATTTGTACCTAGTAAAGTGTCCCTTTGACCACATAAACTTGAGATATGAAAGGAAATCAAAGATACTATTACTCTAGTCATGTTATCACTAAGATTTTAAAATGAGACATTACCTAGGAATAAAGAGTCTACCCTCACTTCAACAAGGAGTCTCAATTCTTTTGAACAAAAGCTGGATTTTATCCAGAAATGTTCTCATTCTTAGACATTGAGACCAATTTTGGAAAAGGCATACATATATATATTTTAAATGATGGTGATTCCATCTGTTTTATTAACTAGAAAGTACAACTCACAAGCTCACACATAACTGGTTAAAAAATCAACAAAACTAAACCAGGCAGAATCTATTATATGATATAAAGTGTAGAAACACTGGACATTTTTCTGGAACAAGTTATCAGAGTCCCACAAGTGTAGCAGTCAGTGAGATCTTTGGGATGGTGTGAAATTCAGAATTAGTTTGCCCAATGCTGAGCTCCCTACTAAGAGATGTGTTTCGATGGCCTCTTCCTGGGGCAAGCCATCCAACTCTCAATGAGGGCCAGGCGAGGGCACCCTGCCTATACAGTGAGGGGTGGATGGGGGGCTGCAGACAGCCTCCAAAAGATCCTCGCACCTGAGTGTGCTGGGATCCTCCCAAGCATGTGCTAATTTTCTAAAGCTTTTTAAAACTTCCAAAGACATTTTCTCAATCTAGTCACAGCATATTGGAATTTGGGCAAGGAAAATTTAAAAGATGAGAAATTCCACTGGACTACCCTGAGATACTTATCCCTCTGTGACTTTATTTTTAAAAAGTTGATGTGCTTGACCTCCCTGGTGGTGCAAGGGACAACCTATGAAGCTACCTGCAGACACTGCAGCATGAGTTCGATCCCCGGCCAGGGAGATATCCACATGGCGCAGTAGACCTCTCCTCTCTTGCCTGCTGCTCCCCTCAGCAGTGTATTTCAGTAGATCTGCCTGTTCTGCTCCCCACTCTGTCTCTGGTGAATCCTCTCACCCCCCACACCTTTGGCCTGTACCCCAGCTCTTACATGCAGAAATAAATAAATCTTAAAAAAAAAAAAGTTGATGTACTTATAACAGTTCTCAAATATTATAAAAAATGATATTTTATATTTTCTGAGACCCAATTTAGTATTTTGAAAGGGGGAAGAGGGGTCCTTTTGCATTTGTTTTTATTTTAGATAATTACAGGCAAAGCTTTTTGGGAGGAAAGTTAGTAAGCTACCCTGAAATGAATTTTTTACTCTCATTTTCTGTTATTTGTTGAAGATATTATTTAAGATAAAGATAAACAGAATCGAAGCAGGAAATAATTTTCACCAAGCACTCTCCATCAGTCTTTTTACTATAACCAAGTATTTACTTCTCAAATTACATGATCTTCAAATGTCAGCTTATCTTTCCTGTGTAAGGATGTAGAATATTGAAATGTGCCAAGAAAGGACCCTCAAAAATCAGAATTTTGGTCAATCCAAGATAAGCATTAAATTGTTCAAGGGTAGGATAGACTGAGAAAGGATCATTAATTTCTTAGGCATTATCCTGCAACTTTCTCTACCACCCACATATACAATTAGCAACAGCAGACCTAATGCTGCAGCAACTAACCTACTTTCTGAAAATAAATGACTTAACCATGGGAGGCAAGCTTACCCTTTTAAGAGAAATGATTACATTAGCTACCTTGTGTGGAGTTTAAATGTCTATTTTCCATTAAATCCAACTAGTCACTAATATTTTTAATTATCTTAACATAGGATTCAATTTACTTCTTAAAATATAACTCATTTAAATATTTCAGTATTAACATATATTTGCAAAGTTTTATATCTTTCCCAATCCAAGTGTAACCCTCCGTTAGCTCTCCCCTTCCCTATGTGGCAGATGACAAAACTTCCCCAGTGTATCAGCTTAGATCTGAAGAGGTAAAAGAGCACGTACCTTCTCCCTGCTACTATGAGCAGTTAAAGACCTTTGTGCTGCCCCACGAAGAGCTGTTCGATAGTTATAGAAATTGCTAGAAGGGTCCATTTGATGCTAAGGACAAAAGACAGGAGAGTATATTTAGTTCTCTTACCTGCAGGAAATTTACTAGATCATGCTTTTAACTACATAAAAATATGTAAGTTAGGAATTCATTAGGGCTCTTCTGACATAGCCTTGTCTCTCTGTCTCTCTGTCTCTGTCTCTGTCTCTGTCTCTCTCTCTCTCTCTCTCACACACACACACACACACACACACAAACACACACACATGCGCGCGCACACACACAGAGGCATGAAGCACATAAGAATACAAATGTCTTCTTTCCTGAGGTTTGGTTGATTTATAAAGATGACATCAACTTTGATAATATTAAACCTAGACTGAATTCTTTCCTGGTTAACTATTGAGATTAGACATAAAATTGATAACGAAGAGTCAAATTCCTGCCCAAGAAAAATATCCTGGTTTTGTTTGAAAGTCAATGGGCCAGTTGCTGGTTAGCCATGAACAGTGATCCGCCACTTTTAGTGAAGGTATTCTTTGCACTTGGTAACAAGTTATTCACAAATAATTAAAATATATGATCTTCTCAGAAGGAAGAGAAACTTGTTACATGATATGAAAATAAAGCATCATGGAACACACACAATGATAATTCCCAATTTGGAGTGAAACTTAGGCAATCACACTTCCTAAGTTTCTTATCTCCACAGACGAACACACCAAGAATCAACACACCAAAGCGATAATGACATGAATATGATTTAAACACAAATACCATTATTGCAGAGGAAGGATTATTATTATTATTTTCATAGATGAGCTAAATTTGTTAAAATGATGATACATGATGATTTTTGGGGAGTGGGGAACCCTTCCCATGAAGTCAGTAGGCCCACATTGCCAGAGAACTTTCAGGATTCAAGTTCCATCCTGGAATATAATGTAATGTGACTGACAGGTCATCCTTTCTCCTATCAACGAACCCTAAATGGACACCTCTCACTTTAAAAAGCACTAGCCACAACCTGATTTATCCGCCTCTTCAGATTCTAATCCCTTTTGTTTCCCTGGACCTGTAGGGAGAGATGAACTTCCTTCTCTGTGGTACTATCATTAGATGAAGAGGATAGAAAAAAATTAACTTCACATACCTCAAGAACATCAAACTTGGCAGTCTTCACTTTGGCCCAAGTTTTTTTTAGCCGAGAGACTGGGCTCATATTCATGCCAGCTTCCATTTTAAAATGGTGCGAGGGGAAGGAAGGGGAGAAAAAAAGTTGAAATAGAGCAATAAGATGAGTCATTCTAACTTATATTCCTAAGTGTTCACTGAGCATAATTAATTTTATAAAAATCTGCCAAACTCTTTTCCAAAGTACCATTTTACTCTCCCATAATAATGTCCTAGCATCCACTTACTCCATGTCCTCACCAATATTTGGATCAACCAGACCTTTTCAGTTCAGTGATTCCAGTGTATGAAATAGAATTTCACTGTCATCTTAAATGACATTTCATTGATAACTACAATGATGTGGAAAATCGTTTCATATAGTTATTATTTATTTGTGTATTTCTTGAAGTATCTCTTCAACTATTTTGCCTTTTCTTTCGATTTGCCTTCTTATTCATTTGTAGTGCCTTTTTTTTTTTTAATAGATTTGGCTCTTTATAGACTCTTTGTTAGATACATGTATTAGAAATACTTTCTTCCATGATATGGCTTGCCTTGACAATTTCTTAATGGGATAAGAGGAAAATTAAGTTATCTTGTATTACCTAGGCTGTGGACCTTTCGAGTTCTTATTTACATGATCTTTCTTATATTATTCATATGTGGAATATAAAGAAACAAAGAACAGACAAAACAAATCCTTGAAATCTGACTGTAGACTTGAGGCTACCAGAAGGATATGGTGAGGAGTGGGTTGGGAGCAAATCAGGGAGTGGCCTAATGGACTCTAGTGGAGGATTACTGGGCTTTGGTGATGGGGCTGCGGTGACAATATGCATTTGTAGAGATGTGACTCTATATCCCTATAACATATATAGTGTTGTAAACCAACATTACTTCAATAAACATAATAAAATAAAAATATCTTCTGTTCACTATTTTCATGAAGGGTGCCAGATAAAGAGCTGACAATGGCTAGTAATTTTATGATGTGAATAAAAAATGGAATAAAGAATTAGTGGGGGGGGACAAGAATTTATTAGGATCAAAATTAATGAATTAAATTTGATGGATTCTCTGCTTTAAATTGACCCTGTCTAAAAGCCAGGAAATATTCAAATATTTACTAAGTACCTACAATGTGTGTAATAGTCATATAATTTGTTATATAAATTAGGACCTTTTTAGCTGAAAGAGTCATTATAATTCTGGCAAGACAACAAAATATAAATTGGGAAAAACAAGACACAGTGTTACCCCATGCCCTATGTTAGAAACACACAGTCATTGTCATTAAAATCCCCAAAATATGGAGGAGGGGGGAAGTTTGTTTACTAAGGCAAGAAAGTTTGGAGTGATAAATACTTGGAACATGGGCAGTCAGAAAATATTCCCATTTCTCAGGCCACTCTCCTGGCTGCACTGATGGAATCATATCACTTAGCATCCTAGCATATGTGATACACAAGCTTCCTTCTTTTTAAAAATCCTTAGTTTAGAGAAATATCTCACTGATTAGCTTTTATAGGTACATACTTATATCTCACTTATGAGCTTTCACAGATATTCTGATGAGGATAAACTGACTAAATATATCCATAAACTCTTGAATACTTCAAAAATACTATCTATAGTTGTATTCATTTGGATATTTAAAGCATTCTGAAGATTTTCAAATCATTTAGGATGAAAATATACATTTTTTTCATTAACAAAATGGTACTACTTGTACATTCAGTGGATACATGTCATAGGATCTATAAAAATAAAGGACATGCAGCTTCCAAAAAACACTCACAGATTATTGCCATCAAAGAATTAAAGTTGCCAATGTTAAAACACTCGCGAGCTACGTCAATGAAATACTCAATCATTCTTGCCCGGTGCTTCTTCTTTACAGGCTGCACAGAGAAAGAGAAAATAGGACAATATAGAACAGACACATGTAAAATAAGTTACGAAAAAATAACACTGAGAACCAAGAGACAGAGAAAAGTTTCTCACCATGCAAATTTCTGTAGCAACCAAGTAGCTAAGGCGATTAAACCATTCCACATAAGCCTCTAAATTCCGTGTTTTCTTCCGTTCACTGTAACAATTCTACAGAGAAAGCAAAATGAGCAGATGTGTTAGAAAACAAAAAGAGTTTATGGGCTCTCATTTTTTGACATGCACAGGCCTTTTTTCCTCAATTTATTGATTAGGAAAGTTTTGCTGGAAGGGGGAGGCGAGGGGAGGAGATTCACTAACATTCTTGACTCTCTTTACATAAGTATCAAGATCTATTAGTATAGTTGAGGAATGCCCTATAGGCTAGAAATCACTCTGATGCACTCATGATGGCCTTTTCCTCCCAGGAAACTAAATTATTGTAGGTCAGGTCTATCCTCAGCAGCACAATTCAGAGAATGGGTTTTGGTAGCATCTTGAAACAATTTTGACCAATTAATGGGGTGTGAACTTTAATTGCTATCAACACAGAAAGGAGTTGAGAATGCAGGAGACTAGAAAATTTGCTTCTAAAATTTCAAAATTTCTTTTATACTTGAGTCTAGGACAAATTTTGGAACATGATGTGGCAAGAAACTAAGTATCCTCCAAGGTAGATAAACAGAAGTCTACACCAGCATGAGCTTCTAGCAGGGCAAAGTGACACTACACAAAGTCAAAGGAGCTCAGCTCATCTTGGAGTTCAAGGACGAGCTTCAACAGGTTAATTATACCCCTCTTTCCTTCCTTTCAAAAGAAACAGACAAACAAAAATGTTTAACAGCCTTCTATTGCAAAACCTAATTTTCACTTCCTGTACTGAGGGAAATTATTCTAAGGCCGGAAAACAGCTGCTGTCCCTACTCCCAAAGAGGCGTTTTCATTAGTGGGTGATGCAGTGTTCGCCCAACAATTCAAAAACACTTCGACAGGTCACACAAGAGGGAAACAATTTGTTTATGTATGTACATTGATTTTACAGCCCATGCCCAGTTTTACCTTCTTTACATGGCTTCGCTCAGGCAATAAACATGTCAAGAAGCATTTACCTTAAAACAAGAGGCAAAGGGCCTCCCTGGCGGCACAGGAGTTAAAGACATAGTGCTATCAAGCTGTCGCCAGCCACTGCAAAATGAGTTTGATCCCCGGCCAGGGAGCCAACCCACATGGCGCAGCAGATCTCGATTGTCTTGCCCTCTGCTCCCCTCAGCAGTGTATTTCAGCACATCTGCCTGTTCTGCTCCCCACTCTGTCTCTGGTGAATCCTCTCACTGATTACCTCTGGCCTACACCCCTATTCCTGTATGCATAAATAAATCTTTTTTTAAAAAACCAAGAGTGCTATGCTCAAGCACTCGGTGTGCAGTCCTCCTGTCTTCATGGCCTCTGTTGTTACTGAATCAAGAGCAGATCATTGTCTGATAGTTTCTTTCTGACTTAATCTGCTAAAACCATTATGCTCCTACAGCCATCACAAATGCTTACATCTACTTGCTTAGTAAATTTCCCAATAAGGAGGAAGAAGAGGCTAAACATTGATAAGGTAAGAATCCTATAAAGGCACATGGAGACTTAGCTCAAGAACAATTGCTATGAAACAGATATGGTTAATAGGAAAAAACTTTTCTGATTTTAAAATCTAGAACAAAACAGTCCTATTTCTGTCCCTTGTGCATGGCAGACTAAGGAATTCCACTTCCAGTGTTAGGGTTAACTTCTGCATAGACTGATTACCTTGTCATTGTCCAAAGGGTCCTTCTGCACAAATGCCTGAACAAATTCTTCTGGCCCAATATAATTGAGCCTCTCCTGTAATACAAACCCAGCAGGTCAACAATATTAAAGAGAATGAGAAGACATGAACTGCCAATGACATGGGCTTTGACACTACCCCCATTTTTTTTTTTTTTTTGTGGGACCCTCGCCGGCAGCCGGCAGCCAGGGAGCGAACCGGTGCTGCAGAGGCTACAGGCAGCCTCGCAGCCCAGTGCTCAACCGCTGTGCCACCAGGGGAGGCCCGACACTACCCCCATTTTTAATGCAGCTTGTAAAGTGAACCCTTAACCTTTAACCAAAATACAGTTATTATTTTAAAAATCTGAACAAAATAAAATAAAAGTCTGAACAGAAGCAATTTTCAGCTTGTGTCAATGTTCCACTAGACAGTAGGAGACTAAGCAATTAATGGGAATACTAATTAGAGGAGGAACATGTAGAAGGTCAATAAACTCTATGTCAGTCTTCCTTAGTACTTATTTTAAAGTGAATTCCCAGAATAGCTAAAGCATTCATATACTCAAATTTCTAAACAAAACATCTCCCAGCTATTGCATATATTTTCCCATTTGGATTATTTTAACCTCTTCTATGACATTACTACTGACAAACACACTGATTGCCAAGTCTTGGGGGTAAAGTATAGGATTATCTGACTTACCAGTTCTATATGCGTCAGTTGTTGGGCCAAAGTGTAAGGATCACTGCAAACAGTGATAATGTCCCTTTGTATTGACTGTGGCTTGGTCTTGAGGACTGTGAGTCGATCCGTGGATGTGGAGCTGATTTTGGCCAGGAATTCCTCATACTGGCTGAGGGTAGTAAGTTTGTGGATCAAATTCTGGATCATCTGATGGGCATTCTTCCTATATGTCTGCCAGGGAACAGCACATCAATTTTCACCACTAAGCGAGCTCAGAAAGTGTGCACTAAAATGATTTTACTTTGATGTTGGAGAAGCATTTTTAGTTCAGGGCAGTTATAGGCAGTTTCAGCCTAGCTATAATGGTTTAAAAGGCACCTGTGCAAAAGATGTCTCATCAGACCTGTAAGATTTTCTCAGGCTGTTCTTGACAGTAAAATTCAGACTGGGCGAAGAAAGCACCAAATAACATTTAGATTTGATCTTGGGGGAATCCAATGCAATAAGTACCACATTCAACTAAATATCCTAGGCTCGCACAGGAATGCACCAGTTTACTTTGGAAAGTTGAATGGCATTAAGAGCAAGCCAGGGCCTCCTATCCTAGTACTTTTACTTCTCAATTTCCCACTCTTGTTATTCTCAGTCTCATGAGTCTTAGGCATGGACAGCTACCAGACGGAAATGCACCATCACCTCCCATTCACCCATCAACCCAACTGATGCAACTGACTTCCAAAAATAACACTGGTTACCATGAGGAAACCACTGCCACTTGGCTAATGTCTGTTTCTTTTGTATTCTTGTGTCAGTGGCTCATGTTCCTGATCAAATTCTGCTATGTGGCAATTCTGCCTGGAATGCTACTACCAGCTATTGTTTGCTATTGTATTGTGCTACAACCACAACACGACAACCACAACACTTAGGAAACATTAATTTTAAAAAGAAATTAACTGTATTATAAATGTCAAATTCCTGACTCTGAAAATACTTGTTAAGCAATGAAATAACTTTACAAACAATCAATCCTTTGAGTACCATTATCATGATTTAAATTACAGGATTCCCTTATTCTTTTTTTTGTAATCAAATTGCCAAACAAACCACAAATATCCTTGTAGGGAATTAGAGTGCCTGTTATTAGAGAAAGGCACCAGGCTGATTCAACTAACATGGTTCTTAGGTTAAGTGCTCTGATGGAGGACAAGTCTGGTGATTTTATATGCAGAAGGTTGAAGCTTCACTTTTTTAATTTGGCCCTTTTTGAAAGGTAAATCATTTTCTGAGATTAATTGTCTAAAAATTAAGTGGCTAAAAACTATATTTCTTACAGAAGCAACTTGGTTTATCAGAGAATATTACAGAAAACTCAAAGGAATAGCTATTTGCTGAAGAAAATGGTGAATACATCTGGTCACTTCTCACACAGTCAAGCAGGAAAGCACAACACAGCCTCCTTTTCCTCTGCTCTACTTGGCGAATGCATATTCCATTGATTTCTTTAAACTAGTCCATTATATGACCTTATTTTTTTTTCTCTCTACATTCACAGACAATCCAAAAATCACTAAAGGAATACCTAAGTGTTTTTAAAAAATGAAACTTACACAAACCTATCCTCCACACAGCATTAAGGTTATCCTCTTAAGAAGATGCTATCTTTCTTATAATATGCTTGTCACTCAAGGTGAATGCCTTTTTCTTTGGAATTCAAGGCAGCTCAAGACTACGTTGAGGGCTATTTTAAGTCCCTGTCCTTACTTTCCTTGCCTCTCCTACTTTCATAATCTTAAGTCACATTTAGTCTTTTCACTTAAAATAGTTTCTTCAGACTTCTATACCCAATGTCATAATAAATGCCTTATATGAGAGATGCTACTTCTAAAAATTGTGCAAACATTTCCTAGTGTATTATTCATGATAGTTAATAAACACCTCTGGAAGATACTTTAGTTGCAGTACATACTGGCCAGCATGCAGAATACACTTAAGAAAGCTTAAGTGTCATAATGACTAAAGCCTCTGTGTCAGAGTAACCCACGAATGTCATTCTCACTACTATGAAACAGCCTAGTGTGGATAGAAGTCTATTCTATGGTAAGTCCTTCTGGAAAAAAAAACTGAATTTTCTGAATAAAAAGTATACTGTTTCCAACAGAATAATTTTTAAAAAGATAAAATAGGTCCACTTCTATTATTGGACTTCTGTGTGGTAGCTGAAGGAGGATACATCTCCCTGCACTGACAGGAAGAGATTCCTCACACATGATAGAGTGAAAAAAAACAGAATGAATAGGTACACACACACACACACACACACTCTCACACGAACTGTACATGCAACTTCTATGGATGGGTTATATATGTATGAATACACAGATATTGAAGACAAACCTCTGGAAGGACACACATAAAACTCACAAAAGGCATTGCTTTTAAAAACAGAATCAGAACTAATTGAAGTTTTAAGTGCTTTGTGTGAATTATTTTTTAATTTTCAAAAATGTGAAGTGCTCTTATATTACCTGGTTTATTAAAAAAGAAAAAAAAACTGTTAAAACTTTCCCACAAAATGGGATTTCTTAGATCCAGTAAAAATGCACAACTTTTAAACAAGTTTTCTTCACTCAGAAAAGCTATAAACAACTCATTTTAAATTATCACCCATTAGCCTATGTCTCAGGATCTCTTCTGCATGTGATATCATTCCTACCTCCTGCCCCTGCCCCCACGTGCTTCCTCAGGATGCTCAGAGAAAAAACACTTGTCAGAAATGACCACCCAGCTCAGGTCACTACCTGGGGCACCAGCTGAGAATGAGTGTACCAGCCCAGTAAGCAGCTAAACATGGCAGCCGGCAGCTTGGGTGTCTCCTACTGAGATGCAAGACTAGATTCGTCTGAGGTGCAGTCTGGGGATCTTCATGGAACTACTACTCAAGTGATTCTGCTAAGCAGCAGTATGCATAGCACCATGGTCTGCTAGTTTATCTGCCAAAGCGTCCTTATTCTACAGTTTAAACGGGCATTTTAGGGAAGAGGCAGTTGAGGGGTCAGTTAGTCATACAAACAGACAGCAAATCTAAGGGGGGAAATGTGCATAATAGGGTATAGGGAGAAAACTACCCAAATAATGTGGGTGTGTGTCTGTGTGTGTGTCTGTGAGAGAGAGAGAGAGAGAGAGAAATATATGTAAGTGTGATCTCTTAAAAGTTTTCTTCTGCATTTGATCCCACTTGAGAAGCCAAGCTTCTTGTTGTTAAGCATGCTTCCTCACTGAGTCATGAATTACTAAATATGCACTTAGTCTTTTTTATAACTTCAAATGCCAGTGGCAGTAATTACCTAGCAAATAAAGATAGAAGTTCTTATTATAAAGACCAGTCCCTTAAGGAAAAGAAAATTGCGTTCTACCCACTACAGTCATTTGTCATATAATTCAATCATTAGTTTCATTTCATGTTTCTTGCAGGCAAGTCCTAATAAACCACTTCATTTTGGGCAGTTCCCCAGGAGGGAAACACATTAAGCCAAGTTATGTTGAACTATCCTAGCAGATTCAGAAGAACTAAGCTAAATTATATAGAGGGCACACCTGGATTCACTGACTGCCAAAAAAAAAAGAAATCCCTGAAGTCCTCAGCAAGAAGCAACAAGCCCACACTCCTTCCTGTGGAGGGAAATAATTTTTCCATGGAGGGAAATTTTTTTTCTTAGTCCAGTAATTGATTGATTGACTCATTCATTCATCAAATAATATTCAGAGCCAGGCACTGAGCTAGAAGTTAAGGATGTTATGGTGAGCAAAGGGGGCCCACCATAGTGTCTACTGGGGCAAAACAAGAAATAAAAAAGCAAGCAACTACTAGTCACAGGGTGCTATGAAGGAAATACTGGTGAAAGCCTATAACCGGGGGATTGGGTCATGGCTGGGGTAGGGAGGGAAGATCTCTCAAGGGAGAGGCACATAAGCACATGACAGATTAGGAGGCTGTTAAGTGAAGAGCTGTAAGGGATACGAACACAGGGCAGTCACCTGATGAGGAAGGAGCAGAGTACTGAGAGAAATTGCCAATCACTCAGATCAATCGGCTGCCATCAACTCAATGCTGGACAGAAGAGTCAGAGAAATAACACTCCACAGTGAAACCACGCTAATCAGGCGGGTGACATCTCCCCACTCAACCTCTAGGTTAATCGATCTGGATAAACCTGGCTTATCTACCCATCTCTTTTCATGCCCAAAAACAAATACTCAAGGATTTGTTATTAACATGGGAGTGCTGATAAGCAGTCTGTTCAGGGCCTCCCCTGGTGGCGCAGGTGGTTGAGCGCCACGCTGTGAAGCTGTCTGAAGCCTCTGCAGCGCCAGTTCGATCCAGGCCGGCCGGGGAGGTCCCACATGATGTGGCAGACCTTGCCTGTTGTACCTGCTGCTTCCCTCGGGAGTGTATTTCGTCAGTCTGCCTATTCTGTTCCCCGCTCTGTCTCTGGTGAATCCTCTCACCCTCCCGCACTTTTGGCCTATACCCCGGTTCTTGTATAAATCAATAAATAAATCTTTAAAAAAAAAAAAGAAGAAGCCTGTTCAGAAGGTGTCTAACCCTGTGGGCAGCCCATGGAACCCTTGAATAACTTGATCTTGCTTTTTTTAAAAAAGGCAGACCCTATCTGGCCAACACAAAAGCAATCTCCCTCTCTGACTCACAAGCCAAGAAACATGAAAGATGATCCATTTGGCATTTTCAAAACACTAACATTTTTTTAAAATATGTTTAAGGTGATCCTTTCAAAAGGGACTAAGTCACCCTATCTTTAAAAAGGCAATAGAGGAAAGGTGAGATGAGTGTATATAAAATTAAGGACCTGAACAGAATTTCACTGAAATGAAACACTGACCAACTCAAGAGTTCAACCTTCAAATAAGAAAAGTCCTTATGTTGCCACTAATCTCTTCAGCAGATTGTCATAAACCAAGGTCACTGAGCCAGTTAAGATGCTACCAGGCACCCATCAGCTCACCCATCTAAGATTTACAACAAGACTGCACTGTGATGCTTAACTTTTGCCTTTGTGATGGAGGGACCTACCAACAGGTACCTTGCTAAAACCTGTTACCTACAAAATTACAAAATGATTATAACAGTCAGAACTTGCAAAATGACTCAGGAAATGACCCATTCAGCTTTATAGGAATGGCTGTCTAGAGCAGGAGGGGTCAATATAATGTCAGAAGGGAACAGTAAAAAGGCTAATTCCCTTTTCATGTGTAGAACATAATGTGGGAAACCAAGTACAAATTTTTCAAAGGCTAATTTTATGTAATTTTAGTCTGATTTTTATTTAAGTTGGGGAAAATGGCATGCAAATATATTCACAGAAGCAGAGAGGGGAGTATCTTGTTACATGATCTTTAGAGCACATCCCTGAAATAATGACTTCTCAAGGAAGGTTATTCATGATGGGAAACTGCATTTTAAGATGAATGAACAAGATATCATTGTAAGTGCCAAATGCTTTGTTATCTTTCTCTAGGTGAAAATGTTGTATCCCTGTCTAAGCAACTTATTCCCAGAAGCTCACCAGTAACACAAGATACTACAAAGACATCCTTGCCCAACAAGCCTCAACACAGAATACCAGCCCTCCAGGCCTGCTTCAAAGAAGATAACTTTGAATTTGTCACAGCTAGTTAGCACTTATCAAAGGCTCAATTGAGGGAAGTGATATTTGTGAAAGTTTATCAAAGAGACTTGCCTTCCATCTCCACCTATTTTAGGTGCTAACCTTGACTCAACTTCCAGGCACCAGAAGACTTGGATCATTTTCTCTTTGTTTTCTCCTTTCTCAAAGAATTACCTTTGCTAATTTACATATTAGTCTTATGGCCTCAGCTTTTCTCAAGTAGCATTTGTCATGAACACTATACAGTGCAATTGCCATGAGGTCATTCTACACCCTGCTCTACAAAGACCCTCAAAAGAATGTTATGGAAATTTTCATTTAGTTTAATGCCCTGAAGAATCAGCATGCTTTCTTTATTCTGAAAGTGAAAATTATGTAACAACATGCATTTCCCTTTTACCTGGAGCTCATTCATATCCCTGCATTCCCGCCTCTCAACATTAGCATATTTGCTTTTTCCTTTCCACAGTCCAGTTCATCTATTTCTATTTATGATCGATTACATACTACTTATTATTTGTTAAATGTTAATGTGTTTATTTTATACCTATTAGTGTTTACATCTATCCATATATTTATTACCTAGCTAGCTATGTTCTATTGCAGTGAATGATTAATTCATTCAAATAATATTCAGAGCCAGGCACTGAGCTCAGAGCAAAGAGGACACAGCATAGAGTCTACTGGGGTGAAATAAGAAAGAAAAAAACTTTTGAAAGGAAACTTTTGGAAAGGAAAAAGGCACAAGTAAAATTAAAGCAACCTTGCAACATGAATCCTGTGCATGAATTGACATGAACTTACCCCCATATCAATCATATAAAACTCCAGATCATATCTCTTTGAAGTGGGATTGTATAATCATCCCCATTTGACATACCAAACAGACCAATATACTATGTTGAAGACTTGCCCAAAGGCAAAATAGAAAGAAAGCAGAGATTCTGCTGTGTATTTCAGACCCTTTCCCACTAAGTCTACGCCTGGGAATTCAAGTGGTTGTGCTAAATCCAAGTTACCAACCTCCTCGCCACTGGCTATTCGGTGAGCCAGATCTTTCAAGTTTCTCATCATTCTTTCATCCCGAAAATCATACGGAAATGTTTCTGTCCATTCTGTCAGGAGTTGAAGGATTTTGGGGGCAATTTTTCTTATCTGGCTCTAGGAAGAAAAAACAAATCCAATTTAGTGGTATCTGTCACAAACTATATCAAATAAATAAAATAATAAACTTCGAGGGCAGCTTTGGGGATTGAAGAAGGGTCCCCCTCCCTGAAGCTAATGCTCTGTGCCATCAACCGAAGGCAGGATCTAGGAATCTTTCATGGCATCAGAATTATGCTGTGATCTTTATACCATTCCCAATTCCCTGTGCATAGCCACCATACCGTTTATGCACTCTTACCTGGGAAGCCAACTTTACAAAGTCTAAGCAGTAGAAGGACCATATGTAATAGAAAAACTAAAGTGAAATTCAAAATGTAGCATTACCTTATCACTGTTAGGATCACTAATCCTCTGGTGTTCAACACATAAGTGGCAGACTTTGGCCATTAGCTCGTAGGGATGCATAAATAACCGAGAACTGAGTAGGAAGGTAAATATGTATGTCCTCTGGGGTAAGAGACAAAAAAAATCATCATGGTTAGATTCTCTCTAAAATTACAATCTCCTCTGCATCTTATTTCATTGAGTTCTCTTGATTCAAAAGTGATATCTATTACTAAAAAAAAAAAAAAACAAAATACTCATTGTAAGATGGATTTCTCCTCTACCTCCTAATGTATCTTTTCCCTTAAGCCATACTAAAAATAACAGAAGTACAAGGATAAATTTAGCTCCCAAAATTATTCACAGCACATTTTCACATCCATCCTCTGGGAGCCAGGATCCTAGAACAATAACTCATTCTAGTAAAGAAGAATGAAATTCAGCCCAGAGAGATAAATCTAACTTAAACATACCACCCATACAGAACCTTGTTCTGTGTCCAAATATTATGGTAACTCAATGGAAACCACACAAACACCCAACCCACATCAGCTCAAGAATTCCCCAGTGTGCCCAGCGAGGCACACTGGAATGTTTGTGTGTTTGTGTCAAAACATTCAAAGGCAGGCTTTCAAGTCATCTATTTACTTGCTCAAAGGCGAAGCAATTTGATAAAACACAATATCACTCTATATACTTTTCTTTAACCTCACTGTTTCCCAAGAAGCCAGTAATGAAGTAGTGCTTATTTGTCATAATAGTTTCAGACTCCCAATGAAAAGAGAAATTCCATGGGTCACCCTCCCCACCCTAGGCGTATTTAGTGTCTCATAAACACTTATGGGGTTGAACAAGGGGTTCATTTTACTGTTGGTTACAAGTTTTCGCTGTGTGGCAGCATATTTGAAAATGCCAAGCAACAAATCACACAGAGAGATAACTCAGTAAGAAACATGATGGGGAACTATGGTGGCAAGCACAAACTACCTTGTACACTAAGGTCTTTATTTATAAAAACATGGATCTACAGTCTAGATATTTTAATGAAATCTTTTACACAACCAGCTGCTTCATAACAGGGGCCACTGTGCAGGAAGGAAGGGAAAGAAGCATAACTTGCCCCAGAAAAAATTCTCCTTTACCCTCATGGAATTGCTATCAAGAATGAGAAAATTTAAATTAATTTCAACAGTATTATCAACACAAATGTTGGTTATCAAGCATAAGCAAACATGCCATCTAAGAGCCAATCTATAAAGAATTGCATATGGAATATAAATCTTGCTCTGTTTCTATGTATTTCCCTGACATTTCTCAGCATAGTGGTGCTCTTGAAAACAAAAAAAGGTAATAGACATTCTCGGAGCATCCAGTACTCTCTGGCATTACTCTCGAAGGACCCAAGTATACATATGCATGAATCAAGCAGATACTTCACTCAAACGGTATCTGACTGCCTCTAAGGTGCTGCCTACCTGGAGACAAATTGCTATGCAGACATCAACCAAAACTGAAATCATACTTAGGTTCAATGTGATCTCAGAACACTCAATAATCAGTGTGCAATTTCTTATTAGCAAAATTTTTGCACCCCAGATGGAAATCTATCGTATCTAGGGTCCCTGCCTACTACATCATCATTTCTGCTAAATATTGAAGATGGATTTCAGTGCAACAAGAACACCTACATCCGGATAGTAATCCACATTAGGTACTAAATGCTGGATGAGTGCTTCCAGGGATCCAGAGAGGAGGTTGTTGTCATGGTAATACAATCCTCCACAGCTGTCCTCCGCAGACTGATAAAGGTTTCGGTTGTAACCACTGCTGTCAAACATTGCTGAAAAGGGAGGAGTCTGAGGCATGCTTTCCTAAAATAAATTAAAAAAGAGAGAGAGAAAACAAAATGTCAGCAATATGCAGTTCAAACACAAAAGTAAACTTTGATAAGTACCAAGCTTTAATAGTAATGGGGAAAAAGGGCCTCCCTAGTGGAGCAAGGGGTCAAGCACCGCACTGTGAAGCAATCCACAGCCTCTGCAGAACAAGTTCCATCCCTGGCTGGCCAGGAAGAATCCCACATGGCACAGTAGACCTCTCCTGTCTCACCTGCTGCTCCCCTCAGCAGTGCATTTCAGTCAGTCTGCCTGTTCTGTTCTCCACTCTGTCTCTGGTGAATCCTCTCACCCCCCGCATCTCTGGCCTGTACCCCAGCTCTTGTATGCATAAATAAATAAGTCTTTAAAAAAATAGTAATGAGGGAAAAGGCAATAAAAAAAGGTTAGTTTCTGATACAATATGAATCCATCAAGAACGAAATTGCTCTTTGAGTAGCACATGCACACCTACTTTTGAGAAACCATCTCATTCAACTAAATATCATAAAATGCTCAGATGTAAGGATCCAATCTGGACTTCAAGTCAAGCCCCTGGCTGTCATATTTTGATATCATTCCTTCACATTTGGTTGTGAAAGAGGGTAGGTGGGTAGAAGAACTGGGCTTTGAATTGCTTTATCCCACTGAGTCCAGTATTATCTGAAGGTAGAAATGAGGAAGTTTTCAAAGTGGTGGAGAAGAATTAGGTAACACTTAAAAAATATCCAACTAGCACTTGACATATTAGAAGATAGCCAAAATGGAAGTTGTAAAAAAATGAAATAGTAAAATGGCCTAGAATTAAAATCCATAGTGAGTGTGTGAGTGTGTGTGTGTGCACATGAGTATGTATACAAATGGACACACACATCAGGAGATTTAATGCTGGTTTCTCAACTTTCCCTGGAAGATCGGATGCTATTGATCATCACCCCTTTGCATCAAATTCTTTTGGGGGTGTGGGGGCTCTATAAAGCCTCAGTTCTCAGTCAACATGCAGGTTGAGACAGCATCTAACTTAGGGAACAAGGAGCACTGTGAGCATCCTCTCCATTTGTGTACTTGGCAGCTCATGCAGCCCTTGTCCGGGGTACTCAGTAGAAGCCAGAGGCTATTAAATTAGGACTTGGGTTCCTTGGGACAGAGCACCAGGCTCTGAAAACAGGCTCCTGGTTTCTGGCAGGTTTGGACAATGGAGGCATTCAGAAGCTGCCCATATGGAGGGGCACAGAAGGCTACAATGGGGTAGCCAAACTGCAGGCCTGGACCGAGGGACAGAGTGTGTGGAGATTGCAGGAGGACACAACCTGGGCTAATCCTTCCTTTCAAGATGCCAAGAGAGATTTACATCCAAACAAGGGGGGTGGGTATGGAGCCCTCCTTGGAGGCACATACGTCACTGCAGGCACATCTGTTCCTGCTCCAGCTACCAGGCCATAGCACCATAAAGTGTGAGTGGGCCTCGGCAGGGGGTGGTCAGGCAGGGTGGAGTGATGGGAAAAAAATGACATCCATTACAAGGTCCACCTGACAGGTGGAACTGACATTCAGGGAGGGGAGCAGCAAGAAAGAGAAATTGAAATAAAGCTTCAGCTCTATGTATTTCGTCCATCCAGAAACACTGCTGAGCGGAAATTTAAAAGACTCCATGAAAAAAGAGCCACAGATGAAAAGAAAGTGATTCCTGAGAATGGCTCAATCTGGGAGATCTGTCACAGTCAGGGTCCCCATGGCTGTGGCTCATGCTCAGCGGGACATGGTCATAAGGTCAAAGAATCTGGAACAACAAGATATAAGTGTTTAGTGCGTAAGACCTCACGCATAGGAATCACAGGGAATTAAATGACTCAGTGTTCACATTTTATAAGGCAATGGACAAAGCATGTGCCTGATCTCTTCAAATTCCAGTTTTCTGTGTACATGTTTCTTGCATGTATAACCTACGCAAACAGGCTGTCCTTGCTGGGAAGGAGATTAATGACCTTCTACCCTTGCCCTGAGAAACTCAAAATGAACACAGGCTGGGAGGTCTAGACCTGAGGTGAGAAACACCTAAAAGTTGCTTTGGGACACCCCGGAAAGCACTGTGCCTCTGGGTCTGGTGGCTGTCCCTGGTTTCAAGCTCTGGCTGGTTAAAAATCGCCCTTCCCTGAATAGGGTAGAGAGTGAGAAGAACTCACTACATCATGCCCTTGGAGGTTTTTTTTTTTTTTCTCCTGTTAAGACCATGGATTTTTCTCTGATTTCTCATTGCTTCTGAAATGAGCAATCCTGATAAAGTACTTCTAGAAGATGGTTGTCCAGGATTTGGAAATTTGATAAAATCAAAAAATGTTAAAAGCTCAAGGGATCACAGAAATCACCTGGTCAGGACTTTAAAAACAGATTTCCTTTCACATTCCAACTTCAGTCAATTTGAAGCAGTTTGTAGAGGTGTGAGGATAAGTGAGAAGAATTCAAAGGCTGCAACTGAGAGGGAATGAGTGTTCTCCATGATTAGCAATGACTGCAAGACAGAGGAGTCGGAGCCCACATGCATCAACTCTGGGCTGATCTCCTTGTTTATAAACCTCCCAGGGGAAGCGAAATGACCAGGACAGGGTTATACAGCGATGAGACCACAGCACCAAGTGAACCCAGTGGAACCACCTGAATTTTGCGCCCCTGTGGCTAATTCACAGTAAGTCCTGGGCCACAGAATGCTCACCAGCCACTCACCAAGCAGTAGTACTTATTCACCCCATGAAGAGAAAAAGGACTCAGAGTTAATGAAATCCTAATCTGGTCCTTAATAGCAACAAACACTTCAGAAAGTCACTCCTCCCACCCCTACAAACATACCAAGTATGTTTGTTATTTGGGAAATGATTTCCAATCCTGCTTACCCCTTCTAAAATTCCAAATGATAACATAACTACCAATTTTCTTTTCAGCAAAGCCCTTAAAGCACTATGAGAGGGATGGAAAAAGGCTTTTGGATTGTCCCCAGAAACGTATCACTCACAGGATTGCTTTGCGAAGGTGCAAAACAGCAACACTTAAAAAACCCCTCTTACCAGCCTCCAAAAGGAAAGACTGGAAACAGCAATGGAAACCAAATGGAAGTAGTTAATTCGGGCCTTAGCTTATTATATGTAAAACTCAAATTTAGTAAGAGTTATGTCACAGATTGTTTTCTGCCTTCCACTGATTTAATTTCCCTGAAGCACCTTGCTGAATGTGTATACAGCCACAACCAATTGCTGAGATTCAAGTCACCCCCAGAGACTCCAAACCCTAATTTATGCACCATGATCTTACTTGTCTGTCTTGCATATACTCAAACAACCTCTTTCCAACTTCTCTCTCTTCTTTAATTATACATTCTTTTATGATGGAGCCCAGCATGCTGGACAAGGTCTCTATATTCCAGTCCTTTACTTCTCTGCATCCTCACTCAAGTCCCTGACTTGAGAAAAGCCTAGAAGCATATGTGGTAGGTTCTGAGAAAGCCAGCACTCCTGTTTAAGGTTTACTGCCTATGAATGCCTGTTTTGAATGCTGCTATACCTTTTGACAGGCATTCTCACTGTTTTGACTGCTTAGGGAAATCAGGTTCAGGAGAACTGTAATAACTCCCTTGCAGTTACACAATGGACAAGGGATAGAGAGGGCAGGATTCCAAACCTAAGTCTCCAGAATGCAGACTCAAAAGTTATTATACTACATCATGTAAAACTGCAGTGGTCCTTTGTGACATTCTAATGTCTAGCCAGAAGCTGAGAGGCCTATCAGTGTGTCCCAAACTTTAGAGTATTCGAATTCATAGATTTTTGCATGTACTACATACATTCTTACACCAAAGATATATTAATGCCACGAAATACTCTTATTAAAAAAGCAGCCATCAACAGTAGTAGTTAAGCTCCTGAGCTCTGTAATCAAAGTACAGTCCTATCTAGGCAGAGGCAATTGTTTATATTTTAGTGAGATTGAGGTGTACTCATAAAGGGTAGCGGGATAAGAAAACACATTAATTGACCGTCTTTTTTTCTATAATATACAAAGGAATAGAGCACCTTAATGGTGGACGGCACTTCAGAGTCAATGAAATACAGAAATATTTGCTTGTATATAAGTACTTTATAATTTTCTAGAAAAAAGTTCTGAGACAAATGACCTAAAATAGATCATGGGTCACCGTGATCATCATCATTTCTAAGCCCTGATAAAAGCCAGTCTCGCCATTTGCTGGAAAGATCAACTACCTTGTGTAATAGATGCATTTGGTAAACAAAGGGAAAGGTCAGCAAAATGTTACAGAAAGTACTGTTTGTAAAGTGTATTTTTACATACCTACAAAATAAACACAGTGGCTCTATTCTTGCAAATATTTTCCCTTTTATTGCCCACATAAAGAATGACTTTTTCAGCACTACTCAGATTTGATGTCCAGGTCTTCAGTGTGAGAATTGAAAAGTGAAGCTCAGAAGATTAAATATTGGCTTGTTTCTTAAGAAAACCCATAAAGGGTGGCACAGGGGTTAAAGGCTCAGTGCTATCAAGCTATCCCCAGCCACTGTGGCATGAATTTGATTCCCGGTCAGGGAGCTAACCCACATGGTGCAGCAGACCTCTCCTGTCTGACCCACTGCTCCCCTCAGCAGTGTATTTCAGTACATCTGCTGTGCTCCCCACTCTGTCTCTGGTGAATCCTCTCACCTCCCGTACCTATGGCCTATAGCCCAGTTCTTGTATGCATAAATAAGTAAAAATAAATCTTCAAAAAAAAAAAGAAAGAAAAACTATACAATATCCAAGTATTGGATATGAGAACTCCAATAAGTATTTCTTCCCGGGCAATCATTTGCTAATGATTAAGTCTAGGAATCATTTAATGGTTTTCTTACTGGAAGAAGGGCTAAAGTGTGAGGCTATTCCTCTCCCAAAGCTTCTTTTCATTTGTTTATCTCAGTCAGTTCTGGTTTCCTCTGATCTGTGGGTTCTGCTCTTCT